CCCCAAAACCCCAAAACCCCAAAACCCCAAAACCCCAAAACCCCAAAACCCCAATTATTCCTTTTTAAATTATAACTATTAATTATCTTTAAACAACATAAATGGAAGGAAGGCCCAAGCTTAGTTTCAAGCCAAAAGCCCATAAATTTGGCAATAAGATGATATTCAAGAAGAAAAGTAGGTCCTTTATAACTTGTTTTGGCTTCGGAAATGGATTTTATAGTAAAAAATTGTGCTTAGAAGCTGTACAGTTCTTTAAATTTCCTGTTCTTTACTCAAATTCTTAAAAAATTTCTGATCGTCCAATTTTGTTTGCAAACTTATGGCCCAAATGTTTAATGATCTCTCTATAGCAGTAGAAAACTCAAGGAAACAATATAGAATGAACTCCTTAAATAAGCCTCCTAAAGAAATCAGTCAGAAATTCAGTTACGGAATTGAGGGAATAAATTACTCTAAATAAAAAGGAATATGACCAGTATGAATTCGATCTAGAGGAGAGCAAGGAGAAAGTAGATCCTTATAAACCCTCTCGCAGAAATATCTTCAAGAAGGAGAAATTTGATATTCACAACTTAGAAGATACTTATGAAAAATACTCCTCACAGCATGACCAATACACAGATAGAGAGGACCAACAGGTGGATGCTCTTCATCAAAGAGTGCAAGAACTTGAAGAAGCTCTAGGAACTCGCGATCTTGAAATAAAAAGAATTAAAATGCAAAATCAAAGATTGCTGAAAGAGAGAGATTTGATGCAAAACAAACTTAAAAAGCTTATAAGAGAGGACAAGAAAAAGGAGCTTGACAGAAGAGCCCAGATGGAAAGAGAAGAGGATGAGGATGATGATGATGAAGAACACAACGGAAATTCAGAAGCCCTTCAAAGAAACATCCTTGACATGCTGATGAGAGCTCAGATGCAAGACCATGTGATGCAATCAAATATGGAACAACAGAGAGAACAAGAGATGATCGAGAAGGCTATCCAGGAGAGTTTGAAGGAAAACCCTAACCCAGACGTAATGAACTATGAACAATTGCAAGAACTTGAAGAAAGAATAGGAAGTGTCTCTAAAGGATTTTCAGATGCAGAAATCTCATTGATTCCAAAAATGGTATGTAATTCAACAAAAGAGGACTGTTCTGTATGCTTAGACAAGATCAAGATTGGAGAAGAAATCAAGAGACTCAGTTGTGGCCATGAGTTCCATAGTGACTGTATCAATGAATGCTTCAAGAATACCAAAAAGTGCCCATACTGTATGGACGAGCATCAGTTGGACGGATAGTTGAATAAACATTCATTTGTAAATGTTGTGTCGGGAATCTTCAAGTTCAACCTATTCTGAAAGGATAGGGGTTTTGGGGTTTTGGGGTTTTGGGGTTTTGGGG